AGGTCTTGGAGGGCCGGATCTGGCCCCTGGGCCGCATGTTTGACACCTGTGCAGTAAAAGGTGACACAGTGATTGAAATACATGATGTGTTTACAGTTATTACCCCACAGAAGTAAACAGTGTCGGGAAGTTTACTTTTAAAATGTAATCCCCTACAGATTACAGATTACATAACCCAGAATGTAGTTTGTAACTTAATCCATTAAATTACTTAAAGTGAGTAATGTAATCTGAATACTTTGGATTACTTGATTTGCTGTAGAGAAGCAAAGACGAGGAAATCGTAACATAAGAAGTTTTGTCTGATAAAAGAAAATAAAAAGCCCAGACTTTATTTAACTAAATTAAAAATATTATTGATAAAAGAAGTTTAGTCTTGTTAAATCCTGTTTGACACATGGTTTAGTCCTGGTTTAGACCTGGTTTTAGTCCTGGTTTAGTCCCCTAGTTTAGACCTTTAGTTTTAGAGACCTGGTTTTAGACCTGGTTCAGTCCTGGTTTAGTCCATGTTTAGACCTGGTTTTAGTCCTAGTTTAGACCTGGATTAGATCTGGTTTTAGACCTGTTTTAGACCTGGTTTTAGACCTGGTTTTAGACCTGGTTTCAGACATGGTTTTGGACCTGGTTTTTAGACCTGGTTTTAGACCTGGTTTAGTGTCCGGCAATGAGTGGAATTATCGAAAAAAAAAAAGAAAAAAGGGATATAGTCCAAAATGTGAAAACAGGAAAATACTTCCGTGTAATCCATTTATTTCAACCAAGTAACTGTAATCCAATTACCACTCACTGAAACAGTAACTGTAACCGAATACAGTTACTCATAATTTGTACTCTGAAGTAAAACACCTCCTCGTCTTCTTGAGTAACGCCGGGCGAACACTGTGTGATATTTTGGGTCGTGTCACTCAGCCCGAGCTTAAACTGTTCGAGCAAATCTCAGGGTTTAAAAGTTCACAGCTCACGAATCATGTTCTCACACTGAACGAACCGATGCTCGAACGCGACCTGCCTGCGCACGCGACCTGCCTGCGCACGCGACCTGCCTGCGCACGCGACCTGCCTGCGCACGCTGTACTCTGGTCACATGACGACCAGAGATGTTGTTCCAGAAGAAGAAAACCACGAAAGTAGAAAACCACAAACGTGTGGAGACACAATGATCCAGGCAAAAAACAGACGCGCTGGTTTGGCAATTTGTTCCATTCCCTGAGCAGACAAGAACAAAAAGAAGAGGCGACGAATCTGGTCAAAGAAATGTCTGGGCAGATGTGGACAGAGGTGGGCAGAGGTGGGCAGAGGTGAACAGACGTGGACAGACGTGATGTGGAGACGGACATGGGGTAGACAGACGTAGGTGGGCAGAGGTGGGCAGACGTGGGACAAGACGTGGACAGACGTGGGCAGACGTGGACAGAGGTGGGGCAGACGTGGACAGACGTGGGCAGAGGTGGGGCAGACGTGGGCAGACGTGGGTAGACGTGGGCAGACGTGGACAGAGACGTGGGCAGACGTGGGCAGACGTGGGGCAGACGTGGGCAGACGTGGGACAGCAGACGTGGACAGAGGTGGGCAGACGTGGGGCAGAGGTGGACAGACGTGGGCAGACGTGGACAAAGGTGGGCAGACGTGACGTGGGCAGACGTGGGGCAGACGTGGCAGACGTGGGGCAGACACGTGGCAGGTGTGGGACAGACGTGGACAGACGTGGGCAGAGGTGGACAGAGGTGGGCAGACGTGGGACAGACGTGGGCAGACGTGGGCAGACGTGGGACAGAGACGTGGACAGACGTGGACAGACGTGGGGCAGATGTGGGCAGACGTGGGCAGTACGGGTTGTCAGTTCTTCAGAGGGAACTGGAGGTAAGTAGCATCAAGTTTTTCACCAAACTTCTGTTCTGTGTTGCTGGATTAACTGCGCCTCCAGGTCCTGTGTCCAAAACAGTCGCCGGCGCCATCGTCCTCCACAACCTCATATCCTGCTTCCTCTTCTGTGTCTGCACATGCTCAGTCTGACAGATTCTGGCAATTCGACTTCAACAGAGAGAAACCCTCACGAGAGGCGACCGGATTTCTAACAAGTTTGATTTTCTTGCGACCTGCGAATGCCGATGGGGAGCTGGTCGTGAGGGATTAATCGGTTTTCTTTACCCCATGTTTACTACACGAAGCGCGACACACGATGAAGCCAAAACTCGGCCCGATCCCCGAAACAGAAAGTGAAAAATCGGCTCAAAAAGGGTCAAAAATCTCACAGTGTACGCCCGACTTAATACCCGCCTCTGCCGACTAATCCTCCGTTTCTTCGTGGATTGCGACCGGCGTCCTTCTTGTTTTCCTCCTCAGACTGTGATCCCGGTTCTTCTCATCCCGGATCCAAACTCATTACGTGTCCCTCACAGCTGTTCCTCTTTCCTGCGTGCGTGAAAAGCGCTGATGGTGTCACAAACTTCGTCTTTAAAAATGCAGCGTTTAAAGTGTTTTTTCCTGGATTAAAAAAAAAACGCAGGTCAGACTCGGATCGCTAACGAGGAGCAGGTCGCCTCACGCTCCGTTTGATGAAAGTTGTCCAATTAGGAGTAAACACGGCTCAGGTCTACAGTATAACGACGAGAGGAGGTTGATAGTACATTTATACTGCAAATTGTACTTGAGGAAAGTTAGAAGAAACATGTTTAGTCAGTGTTTAAAGTCGTATATTACACAAAACTGACTCTTGTGAGATTTTAATCAGGTTATAATGTTGTTACCTCCTCAAAAACAAACCTTCAATATAAAACCAAAAATAAGAAAACAAAAAAACCCAACAATTTTCTTCATTATTTGTCTCCAAAACCAAAATGAAAAAAACGGATAATGATTCGTTTTTTCATTTTTCGATTTTGTGTTTAATTGAAAAATGGAAAAAAAAAAAAAAAAACACGACTTAAACTGAGACGCCAGACTGAAATAGGACTAAAACAGGTCTAAACCAGGACTAAACCAGGACTGAACCAGAACTGAACCAGGAGTATGGGGACTGGCCCGGATGTGCGCCCGCGTAGACTGTCGGGTGATCAGGAAACTGGGACTCAGACCAGGACTGAGACTGGGACTGGGACTGAGACCAGGATTGAGACCTGTTTTAGTCCTGGTTCAGTCCTGGTTTAGTCCTGGTTCAGTTCTGGTTTAGTCCTGGTTTAGTCCTGCTCTAGTCCTGGTTTAGTCCTGATTTAGTCTTGGTTCAGTTGTGGTTTAGTCCTGGTTCAGTCCTGCTCTAGTCCTGGTTTAGTCCTGCTCTAGTCCTGGTTTAGTCCTTGTTCAGTTCTGGTTTAGTCCTGGTTTAGTCCTGGTTCAGTTCTGGTTTAGTCCTGGTTTAGTCCTGATTTAGTCTTGGTTCAGTTGTGGTTTAGTCCTGGTTCAGTCCTGCTCTAGTCCTGGTTTAGTCCTGCTCTAGTCCTGGTTTAGTCCTGGTTCAGTTCTGGTTTAGTCCTGGTTCAGTTCTGGTTTAGTCCTGGTTTAGTCCTGATTTAGTCTTGGTTCAGTTGTGGTTTAGTCCTGGTTCAGTCCTGCTCTAGTCCTGGTTTAGTCCTGATTTAGTCTTGGTTCAGTTGTGGTTTAGTCCTGGTTCAGTCCTGCTCTAGTCCTGGTTTAGTCCTGGTTCAGTTCTGGTTTAGTCTTTGGTCTGGTTAGTCCTGGTTTAGTCCTGGTTCAGTTCTGGTTTAGTCCTGGTTTAGTCCTGGTTCAGTTCTGGTTTAGTCCTGGTTTAAGTCCAGCATCACAGTCACGAAAACAAGAAATGTCCGTTATCCATTTTTTTTCCATTTTTCATTTAAACACAAAATCAAAAACTGAAAAAAATTAATCATTTTCTGTTTTTTCATTTTGGTTTTGGAGACAAAGAATGAAGAAAATTAGCAGTTTTTTTTTTTTTTTTTCCCATTTTCTTATTTTTGGTTTTATATTGAAAAGATACATGGATTTTTAAATTTTGTTTCAGTCGATTCCAGGTCGTCTCAGTGCAGCCTGTGCGCTCATTTGAAACCCGCGGAGACTCTACGGCGCATCACAAACACACACGCTCCCTATGCACGGCTCGTCTGCGACAGCGTGTGCCCTCGTGTACCAGCGTGCATCACAGGGCAGGTTCAACTTCCTAAACATCCTACCTGTCCACCTGCCTCACGTCAGCACGCCGCCCCTCGCCTTTTCACGCTCTCGCTCCTTCCTGCGTACAGCCAACACAAGCCCCTCCCACAGTGCGGCTGATTAGAAGAGCAAGACCAAACGTGAAGCAAAAACCAGTCTAAATTTGTGTTCCAGTGTTGGCACAAAGCAGGTCTACAGCATAGAGCGGATCTACAGAACAGACCTACTGCCACATTTGGCTGAAGTTTGTCTAACAAAAGTGCACAAATGCATCTGTGTTTGTCACGATGTGCGTTTGGTTTGGTAAACGTGCAGAGGCTGGTAAATATCACTGCAAAACCAGAAAAGAATGAAACTCCAGTTTGGAACTTTAAAAAAACAGGTTTAAAAATCTTCCTTCACTTTTTTCACAGTTTTGTGTAAAGTGCCAGAGGAAGTTCTCTTAAAGAAGAGGTTCTCAAACTGTGGGGGAGGGTCCAAAAAAGGGGCACAGAGTGTTTCAGTGCAGTTTGTTTGGCTTTGTATTAGGCAGATCATTTTGACTTGGTCATTTTGTAAGTAGCTCACATGATGAAAAAGTGTGAGCACCTCTGGTTTAAACAAACCAGAGATAAACGGGAAACAGCAGAGCTAAAACTATTTGCCCAGAACAGACTCACCATCAGCAGAACATCCCTCTGTCACAGAAAATTAAAGTAAATTAACCATGTGGTTTTAAGTTTCATTTCTGTACAACGTAAACACATATGCTCAAAGCTGTGTGGATAGAGAAGACTTGTGGAAACAGAAACAACGTGTCTGGACTCAAATGGTTTCTGATGCGGTGATTCGTTTCAGTGTAAATGTAACCCAAATTACTCGCACAGTGAAGCAGGTTTCAGTCCAAATACACTTTTATTGATGCACTTTGAGGATTAGATGTTGAGAAGAAATATGATGCTTGCTTTTGTGAGTTAATTACAAAATACCAGAAAAAACACGTCTTCTTTAATAACAAGTACAACTGAATGTTCTTTTTACTTATTTAAAATGTCTGTGATAAATCTCAGGGGTCACAGTGATCAAAGTGAGAGTCTGAACATAAATGAAGATGTCTCTAGTCAGTCTGAACCTTTGTGATGATCAGAGGAGCTGAGTTTGTGCCTCTGTAGTTGAGGGAAGGACTGAGGAGCGGCAGCAGCTTCTCCCTGAAGCAGCAGTTTGTGAAGGAGTAGAGGAGATCTGCAGAATCTGAGTCATAAAAGGAGACCAGACCCTGTCCAAAGTCCACAAACACGCCCACCTTCTGAGGAGCTCTCTGAGGAGACAGACGGCTCCACGGGTCAGTACAGGCGCCGTACTGATCTTTGTTTCTTAAGCAGATGCTCCACTGTCCATGTTTGGGACTTGCACTGATCATTCCCTTCCTTCTGATGGACTCTTGGGCCACTCCTAAATCCCACTCAATTTTCCCTTTGACCTGAACCTCAAAGTAAAACCTGCCTGAAGAGAAACTCTGTTTCCCCAAAACACAAGGACAAGAGTCAAACCTCAGAGGAGAGTGTGGGAGCTGCATCCCCACATCAGTGTGACAAACCTGTTTGAGATCTGCAGACAGACGGAGCCACGGTTGAGCCGTGTCTAGATCCAAAGTCACCTCCACTGCACTCTGCTGCACTCTCCAGAGCTCCACCTCGAACTGAACTTTAAACTCCTCAGAGAGACTCTTGTGGAGCTCAGACAGAGCGCGGGCTGCACTGCCCTCACACGTCTCTGCTTCAAATCTCACGCTGCTCCACTCCTTCAGCCCAGCAGGGGGCATGATATTAGGGCAGCGCTGTAGAAACTGAAGGGGGTCATGAGAGCGTGAGAGACATTCAGCGCTGCTCTTCTCCAGATCACAGATCTCCTGCTCGAGCCGCTGCAGCAGATCCTGGGCTCGTCTGTGGTTTCTGCTCTCCTTCTCCTGGAGCTCCTCTAAGAAGAGGTCCAGACGCCTCTGAACAGACTGCATGAGAGCAGTGAAGACCTGCAGCCCCGCAGCCCTCTCTCTGTCTGTCTCTGTCTCACTCAGCTCCAGGAGCCTCTGGATCTCCTGGATCTTCTGCCTCCTCTGCTCCACCATGTGCTGGCTCTGAGCCTGAGTCTGCAGCAGAGAGGACCTCCTGCGCTCACACGCCTCCTCCAGAGACAACAACTCATGGTTCTTGTGCTCTAGGACACACACGGCACAGACGCAGCTCTGGTCAGTGCCACAGAAGAGCTCCAGGGGGCGCCGGTGTGTGGGACACATCCTGTCCTCCAGGTCTTCCACAGGCTCCATCAGCTGGTGTCCTTTCAGCCCAGAGACTGTGAGATGAGGCTGGAGGTGCTTCTCACAGAAGGAGGACAGACACACCAGGCAGGACTTGGAGGCCTTCAGTTTGGGCTCAGAGCAGAAGTCACACTGCACCTCTGCAGATCTCTTCCTCTTCTTCTCCAGTTTGGACTCTGAGACCAGCTCCTTCAGGAGCGTGTTGACCCTGAGCTGTGGTCTGCTGTGGAACATCTCTTTACACAGAGGACATGTGCAGGGCCCATCAGTGTCCCAGGTCTGAGAGATGCAGCGTTGGCAGAAGTTGTGTCCACAGGGAGTGGACACTGGCTCAGAGAACATGTCCAGACAGATGGAGCACAGGAACGTGTCCTCAGAAGAATCCATGTCTCACCTGAGGACAGAAGAGAACAGGCTCAGAGACCAGACACCATCACTGTCCAACTGCAGCTCAGAGGAGGACAGGAGGAGCTTTAACGTTGAGCTTTCACAGGTGCTAAAACAGAATGTGACATCAGATCAGAAAACATTATGGGAAACCCCCCTTAGACAAACAAACACTAAAGCAAAACCGCCGTGTCGTCGTCCATCAACACAACGGCCTCATTTCCAGTTCTGACGTTCTGTAACTTCAGCCTCTTTTTTCACCAAGAATTTCTAGTTTCACAGAAAGTTTAAATGTAGAATAAGTGTCACTGGGCGAGTTGTTTACCTGTGACATCGTCTGTAAAGAGAAATATTCAACAGTTACGTGTGTGTGTGAAGTTATTTACAGCTACAGAAAACCAGGTGAAGTGCCAGAATCACACCCATCACCACGAAACACTCAGGGTGGAGTGAGTGTGTGTTTTTCTTCTTTATTTCCTCGTTCAGGATCTATTCTTGATTGATTGATTGATAGCATTTGTACAGCGCCTTTCAAGATACCCAAAGAGCTTTACAGTTCATTATTCAGTCACTCCACACTCAGTGTTCTTGTGATCAGATACTTCACAAATATTTACGGTTAAAAGACTCTGGACAGAACGTCAGAGGCGGCGCTACCATTTCCCTCAGCGCCACTAATGGACGAGGCCTCAGAGCAATTTGATTTTCTCTCAATATGACATTAAATGAGAATAGTTTACTTTTAAACAATAATCATAAGAAAAATAATAATAATCATATGGGTCCAGTCAAGTGGTAACGGAGGGAAACAGGGGCAGATTTTTGACATTCAAATGTCTCTTATTCAGAAACTAGAGGAACTATTGAAATAAGTAAAGTATCAGAATGTAGGAAAGAGTTACACTCCAACAGGGTCAAGTTAAACCTGTGAGATTCTTTCAAGTTGTTGACAAAAAAATTTAAAAAACTCATGTTGGTAACGGAGGGAATGAAATATGCAGCACTTTTTGGGCAATAAATCCAAACAGTGATAACTCTTGGTTCTCACTTACATATCCTTAACAAACTGGTTTGAATATTTGCTTCATATAGTTTTCTACCATATGTACAAGATTAGGTTGAAAAACCTCTTACTTTTTGACTCATGAGATTTTTTATTAAGAAAGTTCATGGTAACGGAGGGAAAAGTAACGGAGGGAAAATTGTTCAAACAAGTAGAAGGTGCAGGATTTTACATAATTCGTCGCTTTTTTCTTCTGAATACTTTAATATTACTTCAAAATGAAAGGAAACTATTTCTATAAAATATGTCAGTCCTTCCAAGCAAATTTTTATCATTTTAAATACATTTTTTTTTTTTAAATCATGTACCTTCATCAACAGTTCAAAGATGGAATAACACAAGATATGATGAAATACATCCATTTATTTACATGATTTTTGGGTCTTTGAAATTTGGGAAATAATTTTTGTTCCATGTTTCATACATGGTCTGTTTAAAACATATGGAACTTTAGAACCAAAAATGGTACAGAAAAAAGGTCAACAGTTTCATAAACTAGAGTACATATGTATCTGTTCAATACATTTTTATATCAGATGCATTAACTTGAATTTTTGGCCTTGTTGTTTACTTCTGCTGGACTGGGCCCATGTGTAATGGATGTAAACAAAAAGTAATTGTACTAACAAAAAAACCCAAAAACTTTCAGATCTGGTTATCTCGTAGGCGACCAAACTAATAAGACAAGTTTCCAATCCACCATAATTCAAATAAATAAAAATGTGCAAGTCTCAAGAACAATGGGGAAAAATTGACAATAAATATATATAAAATAAAACCCAAAACAAAAAAGGTGCTTTAAGTTCACCTACAGCCCCCAAGTAGTAACTCCACCACTGCAGGACGTGATCATGTGTATGTTTCCAAGTTTATATATAAACAGTGTTGGGGAGTAACAGATTACATGTACTGGAGTAATCAGAGTACAAATGATGAGTAACTGTATTCAGTTACAGTTACTGTTTCAGTGAGTGGTAATCGGATTACAGTTACTTTACTGAAGTAAATGGATTACACTGAGGTGTTTTCCTGTTTTCATATTTTGGGACTAAACCAGGACTAAAACCAGGACTAAAACCAGGACTAAAACCAGGACTAAAACCAGGACTAAACCAGGACTAAACCAGGACTAAAACCAGGACTAAAACCAGGACTAAACCAGGACTTAAACCAGGACTAAACCAGGACTAAAACCAGGACTAAAACCAGGACTAAAACCAGGACTAAAACCAGGACTAAACCAGGACTAAAACCAGGACTAAACCAGGACTAAAACCAGGACTAAAACCAGGACTAAACCAGGACTAAACCAGGACTAAACCAGGACTAAACCCAGGACTAAACCAGGACTAAACCAGGACTAAAACCAGGACTAAACCAGGACTAAAATCAGGACTAAATCAGGACTAAACCAAGACAAAAAAACAGGACTAAACCAGGACTAAACCAGGACTAAAACCAGGACTAAACCAGGACTAAAACAGGACTAAAACCAGGACTAAACCAGGACTAAAACCAGGACTAAATCAGGACTAAACCAAGACAAAAAAACAGGACTAAAACCAGGTCTAAACCAGGACTAAACCAGGATTTAACAGGACTAAACCTGCTGCGTGGACGTGTCTCCTCCTCTTCTATCAATATTATTTTTAGTACGGTTCAGCAAAGTCTTTTGTTACAATTTCCTCGTCTTTGTTTCTCTACAGCAAATCAAGTAATCCAAAGTAATCAGATTACATTACTCACTTTAAGTAATTTAATGGATTCTGTTACTAACTACATTTTGAGGTATGTAATCTGTAATCTGTAGGGGATTACATTTTAAAAGTAACCTTCCCAACACTGTCTGAAAATCATGTTCAAAGTAAACAACAACAATCTCCTGTCAGAATCTTTACAGAACATGTTCAAAATCTGAAAGAGAAAATACGAGCTCAGAGGCACAGACATGTTTATCAAAAACAAAATCAGAACAAAAACATTATGAAATTTTGTAAACCAGTTAAAGGGGCGGAGCTCTGGAACAACTGTATGGAAAACCCCAAACTGTACACAGTATACAGTCTCTTTCACTTTATAAAGACGTTTAAATGTTTAACTCTGGACAGAAACATGAAATATGAGACTTAGTTTGTGCTGTAGGACTTTGTTGTTCTGTTTCTGATTTGTTTGTTTTCTCGTGTTGTATTTTTGAAGATGAACTGATGTCAGGATGAAGCTCTGATAAAGGAATAAAGAGTAAAAAGGCAGAAATAAACTTAAGCTTCAACCTGCACCTTTTCGGACTGTGTGTGTTAAATATGACTCTGTGAAATAATGTCAAAATTTACCTGTGATCAAAAAAAATAAATAAAAATAAATAATAATAATAATAATAAAAATAATTAAAAAAATAAATAATAATAATAAAAAAAAAAATAATAAAAAATAAATAAATAATAATAACCAGGACTAAAACAAGACTAAACTAAAATTAAACTAGATCTAAACCTGGACTAAACTAGGGCTAACACTGGACTATAACAGGACTAAGCCAGGACTAAAACAGGACTAAACTAGGTCTAAACCACTTCTAAACCAGGATTAAACCAGGACTAACCTAGGTCTATACCAGGACTAAACTCAAACTAAACCAGGACTAAAGCAGGACTAAAACAAGACTAAAACAAAACTAAACTAGATCTAAACCAGGACTAAACTAGGTCTAAACTAGGGCTAACACTGGACTATAACAGGACTAAGCCAGGACTAAAGTAGGACTAAACCAGGTCTAAACCAGGACTAAACTAAAACTAAACTAGATCTAAACCTGGTCTAAACTAGGTCTAAACTAGGGCTAACACAGGACTATAACAGGACTAAGCCAGGACTAAAACAAGACTAAACTAAAACTAAACCAGGACTAAAGCAGGACTAAAACAAGACTAAAACAAAACTAAACTAGATCTAAACCAGGACTAAACTAGGGCTAACATAATAATAAATAAATTTCTTGATTCATTTAACCTACACATACATTTATATGTGAGGTTCCTGATTAGAGTCTGGAATGTTGGAATATTTGCCGTCACAAACAAATCTCTGGTACTTTCCCACCTTGGAGTCTTTATCTGCCGTTTTGATCTTATTCACCTTTGCTTTGCTGTAATTATACCAAAGGTGAACTGTGTACAGTGTGATATACAGTGTTGGGGAGTAACAGATTACATGTACCGGAGTTACGTAATCAGAGTACAAATTATGAGTAACTATATTCGGTTACAGTTACTTTTTCAGTGAGGGGTAATTGGATTACAGTTACTTTGTTGAAATAAATGGATTTCACTAAGGTATGTTCCTGTTTTCACATTTTCGGCTGTATCCCCCCCCTTTTTTTTTCTTTTCTTTTTTTCGGTGATTCCACTCATTGCCAGAAACTAAACCAGGTCAAAACTAGATCTAAACCAGGTCTAAACCAGGTCTAAAACAGGTCTAAAATAGGGCTAAAACCAGGTCTAAACTAGATCTAAACCAGGTCTAAACCAGGTCTAAAACAGGTCTAAAATAGGGCTAAAACCAGGTCTAAACTAGATCTAAACCAGGTCTAAACCAGGTCTAAAACAGGTCTAAAATAGGGCTAAAACCAGGTCTAAACTAGGTCTAAACCAGGTCTAAACCAGGACTAAAACAGGTCTAAAATAGGGCTAAAACCAGGTCTAAACTAGGTCTAAACCAGGTCTAAACCAGGACTAAAACAGGTCTAAAATAGGACTAAAACCAGGTCTAAACTAGATCTAAACCAGGTCTAAACCAGGACTAAAACAGGTCTAAAATAGGACTAAAACCAGGTCTAAACTAGATCTAAACCAGGTCTAAACCAGGACTAAAACAGGTCTAAAATAGGACTAAAACCAGGTCTAAACTAGATCTAAACCAGGTCTAAAACAGGTCTAAAACAGGTCTAAAAATAGGACTAAAACCAGGTTTAAACTAGGTCTAAACCAGGTCTAAACCAGGACTAAAACAGGTCTAAAATAGGACTAAAACCAGGTCTAAACTAGATCTAAACCAGGTCTAAAACAGGTCTAAAATAGGACTAAAACCAGGTCTAAACTAGATCTAAACCAGGTCTAAACCAGGACTAAAACAGGTCTAAAATAGGGCTAAAACCAGGTCTAAACTAGGTCTAAACGAGGTCTAAAATAGGACTAAAACCAGGTCTAAACTAGATCTAAACCAGGTCTAAAACAGGTCTAAAATAGGGCTAAAACCAGGTCTAAACTAGGTCTAAATGAGGTCTAAAATAGGACTAAAACCAGGTCTAAACTAGATCTAAACCAGGTCTAAAACAGGTCTAAAATAGGGCTAAAACCAGGTCTAAACCAGGTCTAAACCAGGTCTAAACCAGGACTAAAACAGGTCTAAAATAGGACTAAAACCAGGTCTAAACCAGGTCTAAACCAGGACTAAATCAGGTCTAAAATAGGATTAAAACCAGGTCTAAACTAGGTCTAAAACCAGGTCTAAACCAGGACTAAAACAGGTCTAAAATAGGATTAAAACCAGGTCTAAACCAGGTCAAAACCAGGTCTAAATTAGAGCTAAACCCAGGTCTAAACCAGGACTAAAACAGGACTAAACCAGGACTAAACAGGACTAAAAACCAGGACTAAAACAGGATTTAACAGGACTAAACCAGGGCTAAACCTGGACTAAACCAGGACTAAACCAGACTAAAACAGGACTAAACCAGGACTAAACCAGGACTAAACCACGCTGCGCGGACTTGTTTCTTCTATCAAAAATATTTTGAATACAGTTAAATAAAGTCTGGGCTTTTTATTTTCTTTTAGCAGACAAAAAATCTTATGTTACGATGTCTTTGCTTCTCTACAGCAAATCAAGTAATCCAAAGTATTCAGATTACGTTACTCACTTTAAGTAATTTAATGCATTACGTTACAAACTACTTTTTGGTGTGTGTAATCTGTAATCTGTAGGTCATAGTCATAGTAAGAGTGCTGTCATTTCAGGCCATTTTTTAGCAATATGAACAGGTGTAATTGAATAAAAGCAAGATAGACACTGTGGAATATTGCGAGCAAAGCAACAACATGGTTACAGGAGTCATTTCTAATAATATGGCCCAAGTATTTTGTTTTTATTACATTAACCAGCTGATTCTCATTTAAATAAAAGGAGGAAAAGCTTAATTTTTGATCCTCCTTAGACCTGGAAATCTTTTTTGAATTATATTTGATGTCATACTGCATCCCGTACTCTGGACAGGCTCGACAAATCATCCATATGCAGGTTAAAAAGAACAGGAGGCAATAATAATAATAATAATTTATAAGATATTATAGTAATAACATTTATTTTTAAGAAGCACACGTGTCAAGAAAGTGAAAGAAAAACAGCAATGACGCACGTTAATTTTTACAGAGAATGTGCAGCTTTGTAAGTACGTTTTGCTTTCTTTACGTGATACATTATGCGTGTTTGTTGTTGATTCTCAAATAAAATTGTCTGTAAATCCCTGCGTACTCACCGGAGTCAGCGCGGAATCCTCAGTTTACGTTGTTTTTTGTTTGAGTTTTTCTTTGATCCGACGTGCCATGCGGTCGCAGCTCTTCTGTCTGATGAGCTGTTGCGGCAATGAGGAAGTTAAAAAAAAAAATGTAGTTGTTCCTGTTCTGCCCTGCACGTGGGTGGGCGTGAGTGGAGCTAAAATAAACTCACGTGACAGATCTTTATTTACCTTATTCCGGATGTTGTCATGAGCATTGGATTATTTTGTACGGCACCGATCCTAACGGCAGATAAGTTCAATATTGACGTTTTAAAGCCCAGAGAGAAATGTGACTCGTTGGTGCACAGGAACGTGGAACATTTTACACAAGTTAACCGACTTTATGCCGTTGTTCTGTCGAAATGAGCTACTATATGTTTTTGCAATCCCCGACTCTGACCTCCCCAGTTTTTTTACAACATATTTCTTTGGATTAAAGACAGTTTATACCTTAGTTATGTCAAATTTCAACTCATTTATCTGAATATGCGTAGTACATTTTGACAGTCATTTTCTGTTCAAATAGGCTCCGACTAAAGGAAGCACATATCGACATATCGTCAATTTTTAACCATCGAATAAAGCTCCCACTGTAGAGTCACCATTATTCACTCATTTATATGAATTTGGGAAGAGGAGCTTATTTCGACAGGCCGATATCTTCTATCAAATTAGGCTTCCACTACATAAGAAAAAGAAATGACTGGAAACACTAAAATCTTTATATTAAATAATTATCACAGGCTACAGTTTTAATTTCTATTATAATACAGTGATATTTTATTTATACAGCACCTTTCTGAACAAAGTTACGTTTTTTTTACACATGGAAACAAAATAAAAGACAATGTAATAAAAATGGTAAGGATAAAATCAAATATTAAATCCAAACTATTCAGTCATCTAACGTCGGTTTTCTGCTGCAAATCTAACACGCACATGTCGATGTTTAACCGGTCAAAACAGATCAGTGTCGGAGCGTCAGGGTCTGCAAGTCCTTCTCTGCTGGCCTAAAAAAAATCAGAATCACAGACTGATGTTAATTACATTATTATTCTTAAATAATTCCACATGTTCTGTCCTCTTCCTTTCAGAGCTTTTCCGATGGTTGTTCTGCTTCCAGACAAGTATTTTCATATTAAAGCATTTGACCAATCACATTTCAGCCGTCACTTGTTGCCAGGCAGAGTCAAAATCAAAGAAGTGTCCCTGAGGCCTTCAGAATCCATCCTGCAGGAACTCGAACACAAAATAAATGTCCATGAAACTGTTGCTTCAACCAATCAGATTTTGAGTTGGTGTCGCCAGGACCTTTAGCAGGTGTACGAAAACGCCACCGGATTCAGACTCGTAATTGGACAGTCAGAGAGAGAACTGCATCTGTGGTGGAACCAGGTCTAAATCAGGTCTAAACCAGGACTAATCTTAGACTTGAGAGAGAGCGAGAGAGAACCCCGAGTCAGCAGAATAGAGTTTCCGCAAAGTGCGATCGGGCGACAGCTGCACTGAGCCCCTTGTGGCCCCGTGTGGAACGGAGTCCTGGCACGGTCCTTTTGGTCCTTTCCTCTGCGGTCACCTGACAGTCTACACGGGCGCACCTTCAGGCCCGTCCTGACAAACAGTCCTGGTTTAGTTCTGGTTTAGTCGTTTCTCTTCACTGCTCCATGCACCGCGCATCCCCCTCTCCTCACTTGTCCGTGTATTGAATCTCCACGGCTCTTTATACTGTGTTTCTGTGGAATAAGATGCTTTTATGACCACAAAATAGTTCTTGAGGAGTGGATTGTTTCAGACAGAGCACTACTGAAGGTCTAGGTGTGAAATGCACACTCCGCCACTGAAACAGACAATAAAAATAATACACTTTTAAAATGTGACTTGTTGCTCCACTTCTGCCTCAGGAGCTCAAATCGACGGCATTTAAACTGGAGCGGTGCTTGGGAGTTGTGGGCGTGCGCAGTAGCGATAGGGAGCTCAAATCGACAGGACACCGTATTTAATCTGCAAAGTTTCTTCATATTCACCACTGACATGAAGGGGAGCCCCGTTTCATGCCGTTTAGGAGCGTTTAGAGAGAAAAGTGGGCAGGATGGAATAAGGTGAACATGAAAAATGATCAAATCAACCAACCAAACCTCCACCTCCCCAGACACCTCCACCTGCTCCTTTCAACGGCGTCTTGTGGAGGATAATTCAATGTTTCCCAAAGTTTTTTTTTTTTTTTTTCTGGCGACCCATATTTTAAAAGTCACAAACCATCGCGACCCAAGTCAATTTTTCAACATTATTTGTAAATCACCATCACTGTCCAACTGCAGCTCAGAGGAGGACAGGAGGACTTTTGATGTAGAATAAGTGTCATTGGGTGGTTTGTTTGTCTAAGGTTGTGACATCGTTTGCAAAGTGGAATATTGGACAGACTTTATCAGTTAAAGGTTTAAAAGAATGATCCATATTCCAAATGATTTTTTATGTATATAAAGTGCCAGAATCACCACCTTATATCATAATGATGTTCATTCTAAAAAACAGTTTGTCTGTAAATCCCTCACCTGACTTGTTTACTCGTGCTTTGGTCCAGTGCGACGTGTGGTGCAGCTCTTCTGTCGTGTGAAGTTATGACAATGAGGAAAGCCAAAGGTCGTACCAGTTCTGTGCTGCAGGTGTGGACGTTATTCATTAACTCAAAACAAACTCATATGACAGATCTCTTTATATGAAAGATGATCAAACCAAACAACCAGACCTCCACCTCCCCAGACACCTCCACCTGCTCCTTTCAACGGCGTCTTGTGGAGGCTAATTCAATGTTTCCCAAAGTTTTTTTTCTTTCTGGGGACCCATATTTTAAAAGTCACAAACCTTAGCGACCCAAGTCAATTTTTCAACATTATTCGTAAATCACAAAACAACGATGCATTTGAGCATTATTGAACATTAATAAGGATATTTTATTGGATATTTATCTGAACAATTAGGATTACTCAAGTTTTAAACAATGAAAAACAGTCATTGAAGCAGCAATAAAAGGATCCATAAGTTGCTGTTTTGGCCCATTTCTTTTTCTTTTCAACGTTCAATTGAACCAGCAATATTGGAACAAAATAGTCAATAAGATAATCACAAAAAGATTAGAAATTATACAAAACGTGTCTTAACATTTCAACATTTTTAATTCAAAGTGTTTTGTTTTGTTCTGCAGGAGGAGAACGCAGCAGCAGATCAGTGTCAGAACTGTAGATTGCAGACTGACATGCAGGGCGACCCCCCAAAAAAATCTCTTGTGACCTGCCTGAGGGTTGCGACCCAGTCTTTGGGAAACAATGGGCCAGTGCATTGAAGATAGCATGAAATTAGTGAGCACGCATACAGCTGGACCGTGCACACCGAAATGGATGGATCCTGGTGCACGTTGAGATTGATGGATCCCAAAGGACTAAGATGGACTAAGATGTGCAGAGTGTCGACAGTGAGAGGGAGAATCTGCTCCACAGAACAGGTGAGCAGGGCTGGGTCCATTAAAAAACAATATTGCAAGCTTTAACAACTTATACAAACGTTAACAAACCAGTATCTCAAAAAGCAAATGTATCTAGTCAGTTTGAACTTTTCTGATGATCAGAGGAGCTGAGTTTGTGCCTCCATAATTGAGAGAAGGAGAAAAATACGGTAACAGCTTCTCCCTGAAGCAGCAGTCAGTGAAGGAGTAGAGAAGATCTGCAGATTCTGAGTCATAAAAGGAGACCAGACCCTGTCCATAGTTCACAAACACGCCCACCTTCTGAGGAGCTCTCTGAGGAGACAGACGGACAGAGGGGCCTGTACAAGCGCTGTACTGATCTTTGTTTCTTAAACAGATGATCCACTGTCCATGTTTGGGACTTGCATGGATCTTTCCCTTCCTGTTGATGGACTCTTGGGCCACTCCTAAATCCCACGCAGTTTTCCCTTTGACCTGAACCTCAAAGTAAAACCTGCCTGAAGAGAAACTCTGTTTCCCCAAAACACTAACGCAAGAATTAAACCTCAGAGGAGAGTGTGGAAGGTTCTTCTTCACATCTCCACAATGAACCTGTTTGAGATCTTCAGACAGAATGAGACCAGAGTGAGCCGTGTCCCGGTCCAGAGTCACCTCCACCGCACTCTGCTGCACTCTCCCGAGCTCCACCTCGAACTGAACTTTAAACTCCTCAGAGAGACTCTTGTGGAGCTCAGACAGAGCGCGGGCTGCACTGCCCTCACACGTCTCTGCTTCAAATCTCACACTGCTCCACTCCTTCAGCCCAGCAGGGGGCATGATATTAGGGCAGCGCTGTAGAAACTGAAGGGGGTCATGAGAGCGTGAGAGACATTCAGCGCTGCTCTTCTCCAGATCACAGATCTCCTGCTCGAGCCGCTGCAGCAGATCCTGGGCTCGTCTGTGGTTTCTGCTCTCCTTCTCCTGGAGCTCCTCTAAGAAGAGGTCCAGACGCCTCTGAACAGACTGCATGAGAGCAGTGAAGACCTGCAGCCCCGCAGCCCTCTCTCTGTCTGTCTCTGTCTCACTCAGCTCCAGGAGCCTCTGGATCTCCTGGATCTTCTGCCTCCTCTGCTCCACCATGTGCTGGCTCTGAGCCTGAGTCTGCAGCAGAGAGGACCTCCTGCGCTCACACGCCTCCTCCAGAGACACTAACTCATGGTTCTTGTGCTCTAGGACACACACGGCACAGACGCAGCTCTGGTCAGTGCCACAGAAGAGCTCCAGGGGGCGCCGGTGTGTGGGACACATCCTGTCCTCCAGGTCTTCCACAGGCTCCATCAGCTGGTGTCCTTTCAGCCCAGAGACTGTGAGATGAGGCTGGAGGTGCTTCTCACAGAAGGAGGACAGACACACCAGGCAGGACTTGGAGGCCTTCAGTTTGGGGTCAGAGCAGAAGTCACACTGCACCTCTGCAGATCTCTTCCTCTTCTTCTCCAGTTTGGACTCTGAGACCAGCTCCTTCAGGAGCGTGTTGACCCTGAGCTGTGGTCTGCTGTGGAACATCTCTTTACACAGAGGACATGTGCAGGGCCCATCAGTGTCCCAGGTCTGAGAGATG